ATCTTTAAAATTGTTTGGGAGAAGAAAACGTGACTACAGTGACTAAAGGAAGGGTTAATCTGCTTAGAATTTGGTATCTCAGTTATTCATTTTTTTCAGAATTCAGAATTGTTGCAAATTAAATTTTCTATAAACAGTGTGATGCTTATTTTGAAGGGGGATCTGTTTAGTTTTAGCATGTTTTGGCAGATGCTACTTTACCACCACTCAGTAGGTTTCTGGTTGCTTGACACTGCTCCTTGTTTCAAGTAAAGCTACCTCAACTGGATGTCAGCTCTGCACTGTTGATTTTGGAAGGGATATCATGTTGGGAATTGCAAGAATCAGGAGAGTGGAGGCACACTTCAGTGCAGATTCTTTGTCTTTGTACCAATCATTGACTTAGGGCATTTTAGCTCATTTCAGCACTTACCTAGTTATCTATTTGTTTAAGAGGAAAAAGCCACCTCAGAAGAGGAGTTAGTCTACTTATGGTCTGGCTTACTTTCTAGGAATGCCTCTTTGGTGGATATGGAAGGAGTTTATTAGGTTTTTGGCACTAAATACATCAGTTATGTTAGCGACCTTGTACAGTGTGGAGTGAATTTGAATTGTGATTCCTATCCGCAGTCTGTCTATGAAATAGAGGGAACGAGAAAACAGAATGAAAATTGGGATATAAATCCAAAGTAGTATTTTTAATGCATTTGCATCACTGGCAGTCCTCTTCCACGTCTGGTTTAGGAAAATTTGTCCAATCAATACTGTTTATAATTTGCTGTCTCTATCTAATATTCTCCTTGAAATGGAGAAAGTTTTCTGGATCCCAGCAGCTGAAAACTTTTCTTTTCCCATGCTGTGTACAGGCTCTGGTTTATTTGAGGATGTGGGTTGCAGCTGGCAGCTGTTTTAAATAAACGAAGCAAAGGCTGCTGAGAAAGAAAAGTTGTATGAAGTATGATTTGAAATATGCAGCTTTAGGAAGATTGATACAAAACAGATTGACTGTGCGGTCAGCTAATCCTAGCTGTTCATAGCAGGGGCTTCCTTTTCTTACATGCATGGGTGTTCCAAGGATTGGAGGAGTATGTGCACTGTAGAGCTCCAACTCCCAGCCAATGACTTCTGGATACTATGAGCCTGATCTTGAAAGATGGTTTATTTGAATTTTGGTGCTTTAATGCCTTTGAAGAGAGATGCGACAAATGTTTATCTTAGGCATATTTACCAGATGAATAGTGGGAATTTATTTTTCCCCTCATCCATGGCATCACAAAAGCATTAGCCCGGATACGGCTTGGGGGATCATCTAAGCCAGCCTTTTGTCCTGAAGGAGAAACAGTTTACCTGAGGATATTTATTTAGACTGATTTGTAAATTACCTACTGAAAGAGAGTTCTTCTCTTCCCAAGGTAATTCACTTCTGTGCTGTCTCCACTTCTTGAGTGAATGCTCTTTAATTGTCAGGTCTCTGAACAATTCCTATTGCTGAATATTATTACAATTGCCGCCTGATCTCCAGAACTCCAAGCTATTCACCAGAACAGCGGTTGTGATTGTGACTTTTCTTGTGGCATTTGGTAGTTACTCACTATTTCTCAGAAGTAGTACTTTGCCTCTTTCAGGGTGATGAATTATTTAGATACCTGAAAACCTTCCCTGGCTTCTTGTCTTCATTGCATTTGTTGTTCAATTATTTTCATTTTTGGCAAGGATGTAGTTGATCTATTGTCATAATGGTTTTTTTTTAAATGAAATTGATAATGTATTTTGCATAACTGTTTTGATTATCTTTTAATCTTTGTAACCAAGACATAGATTTTGAAATGATGATTTTATAAAAGTACTTAATTATTGATAGTACAGAATAAGTGCTTGACATTAGTTGGTAGTAGTTACTGCATGTGGTTAATTTTTTAGTCATAGGCAGAAGTCTCTGCATAAAGATAATTGAAGTCAAAATATTACTCATATATTAAGGATTATGTTTCTTTTTTTCTCGAATACTGTTTAGTTTTCAAAAATTTACTTTGTATTCTCTTTTGTTAGTGAATTCCAGAGCTTTTCCCATTAAAACTGGTTTGACAGCTACAATTGCACATACTATCACAACTTCTTACACAGTGCTAAACTAGATTACTAACATACTGAATAGTGAAAAGCATTGTAGCTGTCCAAAACACGTTTATATTCTGATGGTCATTTATTATGGCAGTTTATTTTCACTTTTTTCTGAAAAAGGGCATGCAAGATTTGGCTTTGTGTCTTAATATTAATTTTGTGTAATTCAAAAGAATAACAATCTACTGAAGAATTACCAGAAGTTTTAACATAATCAGCTTTGGAAAGACTTCTTTTTGTGTCACTTAATTGGCACTTGCTGCTTTATAACAAAGAACCATTCTATTGTATTTATTCCAGACAAAACATGTAACATTATTTTCCCATTTAGTTATTAAATTTGATCGGGTGATAAGAAAAGTCTAAACTTAGAAAATCTGTGAAGAAACAGATTTCCCTAAATCAGTTCTTGGAACAGCCTATTGCATGTGAATTAGGCCTACGTTCTCAATAATATTTAGAGTCTTTATTCATGTTGATTTTAGTGTTGTTCAAATACTTTTGAGGATGTTGGTAAAATGGCATGAAAGACTGCAGAAGCCTACACATTAGGCAAGGCAGCGCTCACCTTTTAAATATGCGGGCCTCCATGCGAAGCATTTGTGCTCACAAGGAAGAAGTTGGGCCACTCTGCAGCCAGGGTGCTGCTTGTGAGCCTGGAGCCCTGGGTTGCAGTACTGCATGCAGGAGTCTTCTACATTTTCCATGTGACCTTTAGAAACGTGCAAAGAAAAGGTTGAAATATTTTCTTTTGATCCATTGGAGAAATTCTGAGCTTCTCAAAATCAGTGACTCTAAGGCAGGATCATTAAACTTAACTGTCTGTAGCTCTGAGGTGTTAAATTAGAGGGTTCCTGCTGGGAAGAAATTCTGGAGTGAATTCCTGGCCCTTCTGAAGTAAGTAAATGTTCTGTCCTTGGCTTTAGTGGGGACAGAAGGTCACCCAGGTTATCTGTCCTGCTAAGCAGTTTCAATTTCTATTATGAAAGAAGTGATAGAAGACTCTCTCTATCGGTGTTCTACACAGCTCCAGAAATGTCAAACATGGAAATTAAAAGTTGGAAATGGCTGTATCCATGGTCCTGTTCCTGTTGTTTGGAATTCTTTACTGTCTGTGCCTGAGTACTTTTAACCATACTGCTGCTGAATGTTTGTCTCTCCCTTCTACATTGGGGAATTTGCAGGTGATTCATGTCTTACAACATCTGAAATACAGTCAGTCCCTCAGGACTGGGATGTGCAAGTCAAACAGAGTTTCATCCTGTCACAATGTGAATGTACAAGCTGTAAAAGGAATGCTAGACAGAGCTCCATGGTGCTTGAGATGACAGTCCTTCTAGCAATGGAACTTGCTAAGATATGTGTATTTCAACTCCAGTCTGACTAAAGCCCTCCATATAGTGCCATGGGTGCTCGCAAAGGGCGAGACCATGCTTGCCAAAGTCTGCTGGATTCATCAGTCAGGCTCTAGGTGGAGTAGAAGCAACAAGGCCTTTCTGACCTTTGATACTTTTTTTTCCTTGTTAGGATGGCTGTCTTGTTCTTTGTGCAGGAGGAAAGCCAAAAATATGTCAGGACAAACTTTTGTTTTAATATTCCCTAGAAATAAGTGGAGGGAAATCTTTTTAAAGATGTGGTGTGTTATATTTTTTTAGATTAAATTGAACTTTTTGAGTGTAGTTGTGGTGTTGTGGTGGGTTGACCCTGGTTGGATGCCAGCTTCCCACCAAAGTCACAAAATCATTCCCCCTCCTTAGCTGGACAAGGGAGAGAAAATATAACGAAAGGCTCATGGGTTGAGATAAGGACAGGGAGAGATCATTCACTACTTACTGTCACAGGCAAAACAGACTTGACTTCAGAAAAATTAATTTAATTAATTACCAATCGAATCAGAGTAGGATAATGAGAAAATAAAAATTAAATCTTAAATAATCTTCCCCCCACCCCTCACTTCTTCCCAGCCTTAACTTTACTCCCTATTTTCTCTACCTCCTCCCCTCGAGCAGCGCAGGGGGACGGGGAATGGGGGTTGCAGTCAGTCCATCACATGCTGTCTGTGCCGCTCCTTCCTCCTCAGGGGTGGGACACCTCACACTCTTCCCCTGCTCCAGCATGGGGTCCCTCCCATGGGAGACAGTCCTCCACAAACTTCTGCAATGTGAGTCTTTCCCATGGGCTGCAGTTCTTCATGAACTGCTTCAGCATGGGTCCTTTCTGTGGGATGCAGTCCTTCAGGAACAAACTGCTCTACTGTGGGCTTCCCACAGGGTCACAGCCTCCTTTGAGCATCCACCTGCTCTGGTGTGGGGCCCTCCCCAGGCTGCAGGTGGGTCTCTGCTCCACTGCTACCCTCCATGGCTGCAGGGGCACAGCTGCCTTGCCATGATCTTCACCATGGGCTGCAGGGGATTTTCTGCTCTCGCGCCTGGAGCACCTTATGCCCCTCGTTCTGCACTGACCTTGGCATCTGCAGAGTTGTTTCTCTCACTGTTTGGCTCGGCCTTGGCCAGTGGTGGGTGTGTCTTGGAGCTGACTGGCATTGGCTCTGTTGGACATAGGGGAAGCTTCTAGCAGTTTTTCAGAGAAACTACCACTGTATGCCACCCCACTACCAAAACCTTGCCACACAAGCCCAATATAGTAGTGTGTTCTTCCCTATGCTGTAACCAGGTCCTAAAAACAAGAGGTTTTTTTCGTTCCCTATCTTTCTTTTTCCATTCTTCTTCCTGAATTCCTCTTCAACTGCCTGGATTCTATGTGTTTTGGTTTTTATTTATTCATTCTTAAATATGGTAATATTATCCTAGCTATTGTCTGTCATGAACTTCTCCTAAAAGAAACAAATAAATAGAAATGTCATTTTTCCTGATCAGTCTTGTGCAGGAAAAGGCGGATGAATGATGAATCACTTCATGGTTCTAGCAGTGGTGATCTCCCTGAGGACTTGCTACACTACGCACTCACAGCAAGGTAAATGTCTGAATGTTTGCTTTTTTATTTGGAAGCAGACTACAACAACTGAATCTTTAGACTTGCTCATTTGTATGTCTGCTGTGATTTTGCAATAAGTTACGCGCTTAATCAAATTGTTCTCTTTGGTAAGGTGATGAAGCAACTTGTATAATGACCTTTTGTAACCCCATCATGCAAAATTGCCTGTTGAATCATTAACTTGCAATGATGTGAAACCAGAGTGTATTTATTTATCTGCTCCCCCTCTGTCTCATATGTTTTTTGATCTGTACTCTGTCATCTTCAAATAATTTATTTAATCTTTGACAACTTTTCTACCTCTTCCTTTCACTTTCTTGTTTGTCTCATCTATGAAAAGTTTTGCACTTCTATTGGCTCTTTTCTGATTGTGCCACAAGATTCCAGGACCAGATTTTTATTTCTCACACTTCACTCATGTATCCAATACAAAGAAGAAAGCAAATATGCGTATTTCAACGGAACAAAGTTGAATATAAGGATAACTTTCCAGAGTGCTATGTATTTTAAGGTAAAAGTACTGCTTGCACGCTTGCTGCTGGCAGTAGTATTGGGCATGACTCCATCAAAAGAAAAAAAAGGAATGAGTATTTTTAATCAAATTTTCTGTGACCACGATTAAGAAGGAAGAACTTAACAGACTATAATCTGCATTATAGAAGTTGTATTGGCTTAATTAAGTTGGTGAAGGAGGAAGAAGGGTGCTTTTCTTTGTAAATGTACTTGTTATGATACTGAAGGCGTTCATGTATCTGTTCCAGACTTTTTTGCCACTTTTCAACTTTGAAATTCTTGTGTTCAAATTCCATTCACCAAAGGTGCCAGTTCTTCAGCTTTGAGACAATTACCGGTGTCTCTAGAGTGGAAAGACATTGTAATGCAGGCAAGTCCAAACAGTTACTGCATTACAATAACTTGGTCACTTGTCCTCACATGCAGTTGTTCAGGAATAAAATTAGCCTCTGTTGTTAATCCTAAAGCTATTCATATAGTCTTGAGTTAGCTTTCAAATTAAAACAAGTCTTAAGATGCCTTGATTATTTAACTTTGCTAGGAGGAGAAGATTATAGCTGTGAATCCTACAAATATTTCTACATGTGTAAATTATACTACAAAAGTCTTTAAGTTACACATTGTAACTCAGTGGTCTCAAGATCTTAAATATGTCCTTAGCTGTATTGTTTCTTCTGTTTGTTGGTACTGTGTATAAGCCCTGACTTCTGTTCTAGACATTCTTATACCAAGCTCTGAGGAAAAAAAATGTGTGAGGTGTGAACTGATATGTCATCTTACTAAAAGGAGATAGTGGAGGGACACTTGTACAGATGAAGAAAAAACAGAAACTAATGAAACCTTTGGTTTTTTTTTTTTTGTCAAGTTAATTAAATGTGGCAGGTGAAAATATTCTCAGGTGAGATTTTAGCTTGAACAAAAAGAGGCGGATGTAGAGAAGAGAGGCAAGCTCATCATTAATGCAGTAGGCATAGTAGTGACACTCGCAATTGGAATTGTCTAGAGAAGGGGCAGAAAAGGGGATAAGGAAATTCAGAAGATAGGCAGTAGTTTCTTTTAATGGTGCACTCTGAAAAAGGATGGAGGTGCCATTATAACTAGATGTCTAGTTCTAGTGGAAGAATCCACAGCCCTGACTAAAGTACTTTAAGGTCTGTGTAGAGCAACCAGGAACGTGCCTAATACTAGTTTATAATCTGAGCTAGCTCGTGGAAAGAAACTCTTGACCTATCCGGTTAAAATACTTGACTTGCTTTAACTGATTTAATCTTAATTAGGTCAGAGAGAAAAATTGACCCTAGATTTCCTGCCCTAATGATGAGAATGCTTGCTGGGGGTTGGTATTTCTTGGGATTCAGTCCCTGTTAATATATTATGTTGTTCCTCTTTGTAAAACTGTAAAGGGATGGATCAGTATTCCCATAAAGTAGCTGGTAAATTTAGAGTATAAAGAAATTAAATAGCACACCTAATGTCATCGTGGGAAGCTGTGGAGTAGATTCAGAAACCTCATTCTAGCCTACTGATGCCTTAAGGTGAAAGACTATCTTTGCTTTTGATACCAACAGCATGAGTCTTGATCACTCTTTTTTTGTCCCTTCAGAACTGTCTAGCGTGGAACCTATCTTTCCTCTAACCACGTTGTTTCAGATCTGCTTTGCAACTTGGCCAAGCCGTATCTGAAGAACTAAATCATACATAATCATTACTATTTTTGTGTCTTTTTTGTGCTCCTAGAATCTGTTGTGTTTCCAGTAGTGTACCTTAACATTTCCAAGGATTTGGCTCTTCAGCGGTTGCTGGTGGAGTGGGATGTTGGCAAGTCAGCGCATGATGCTGAGCTGGCAATGTCTTTTGAAATACAAGTCCGTCGAACAGATGTAACTACTACTGTGTGGACAGTAAGTATATTTTAAAAACATGTATATTAGTTATTTACAATATAAAGGAAACTAAAGGAAAATCAAATTTTCAGATGCATATACAGATAACTTTGCTGTATAGGTTTATGATTTACAACATAGTATTTATAAAACAATACTAGAAATACCTCCGTATTTTACTAGATGCCAGACTTGGCCTGATGTTATGCCCAGTTTTTGTGCAAAGAAGTATTGACTCAGATGAAGAAGTCATTTCCACCTGTGCAGAATGTAGATATGCCAGTCATATCCTTACTGAGAGATTGTGGTAAGCAGACTTAGGAGATCTGGTTTTAAAGGCCTCTTTTTTCCCTTTCAAGGTGCAGGTCCCCTAAGCAGCTTCCCAGAAAAATCCCTTCCATTGCTCCTAAAGGCAGTCTTTTTTGTAGCATAATTACTACCTTTCACTGGGACTAATTGAGCATGAGTCATGTTGCTGCACCTCCTCTCACCTTATGAACCAAATGATAGTCTCAGCGTGAGCAATGCCTTTTAAGTCCTGTGGCTGGCCCTGTTATAATAACCTTATACCCACCTCTTTCAGTTAAGGAAGAAGTAGTGAAGTCTCTTTTGCAAAGTCCCCATCCTGGTAGTTTTCCTTAACACCTAAACCATCCGCATTTTCTGAAGACACCTAAATCATAGGCTTAGGCCTGCTCCTGATGTTTTCCATATTTTGTGACTTCAGCATGAGAACTTTTGTCTCCAAATAAATTTTTTCTCCTTTGGATCTCACTAAATCTTTTGGGAATGAAATGCATGTTTTAGGGATATTATTATGAGTCATCTGCTGATTGAACTATCGGAGAATATGAAATGCACATGTTAAAACTTAGTAAAACTGGAAAAATCCTCTAGCTCATTTAAAGTGGCTGTTTGTGAGAAAACACATAAAGCAGAGAAGGGCTTATTTTTCTGAAACCAGAAGTCAATAAGATGGGCACTTTTAAGAATTACAGCTTACTCTGATCAGCCAAGTTTGTAGTATTTTGTCCCTGAGTTTGAATAACGACATCTTCACTGCAGATGAGCTCTATACAGATGAGCTCTACGCAGTTCGCAAGATTTTGACCACTTTGATACTTAAGATAGAATTTTTAACACACTATGAGTAGGTCTAAACCTAAAGTCAGAAACTGGCACCATACAAGCAATTAAGTGGTCTTTTGGAGCATCCTTCCAGCAAACCCTTATTAACTTGCTAGAAGAAAGAAGGAGTTTTTCGAATCCAAGGATCTCGTCTGTTCTGTTACTAATAGTAAACACAAAAATAAACAGGGTGTTTTTCATGTCATTACCCCACGGGAATGTATTTGCTTCTGTGTCTTTCTGAAGCATGTATACCAAAAGAGAAACCCTGTGAGTCTGCTCATACCAAAGCACAGACAGTGCATATAACTTCCAAAGCAGTGACTGCATTCATCAGTGCTATAACTGAGAAATTAAATTGTAAACTGATTGCAGACTTGTTCTCAGAGTGGTGATATTAGGAATGTGCAGGTGTTGCTTGATGGAAAGCAGTAATGGAGACCTGTTCTCTCTCTCTAGTTGTCAGTGCGAGCCAGGGCATTGGTACATCTCATATGAGCAGCATGGATCTATATGCTGAGAATGTGGTACAATTGCTTTAAGTAATACTGAAATACATGTTCTGTTCTAAAATGTATTTACAATTGATTAATAGAATTTTTTAGGCCATTTTTTTTCCCCTCCTTCTTATGGGCTCTCATGCCAGGGGAAATTCACACTTGGGATACCTTTTCATCTATCTGGTTAGTTTAAGTTGCTGTGCCATGTATCGGTGCAGCTCATTTAGTGCCCAGATGGGCCTTAGTAAGTACCTGCTGAGACAAATTTGCAGGGAATCTTCTCTTAGTAGCAGAATATTTTATATTTTTCACAGTTTTTCTGTATTTATATAATTCAATATAAAAGTCTTTGCCAAATTACAGAGCATTTAGCTCTCATGATTTTTGAACTCCATTTTATATTTTAGGCTGTCCTTCTGTTCCTTTTATGGAGCCCTATCAGTTTTGGATGTCTTTTTTCATGTTTCTTGCACGTGCATATTACAGCAGTCAAGCATTTTGGGGAAATCAGCAGATATTTTCCTACTCTGCCTGTCACTGATGGTAGTACTGTCCTCAGATGCTGTGCCTCAGCACTACTGTGAAATATCATCTGCATAAATCCTTACTGGCCAGTGCTGATTCTTCCTGTAATTCAGAGCCAGGGTTATGTAGCCTAGAGCATTAGACAAGGTGCACTTGTAGGCAGCAGCATCTGTGCATGCTATTACTCATGTAATAGCAGGCACAAATAACCCGCTGACAGCCTCTGAGAGTGAATTCATTTCATAAGAAGCAAAGCCTGACTCACAGTTATGTTGTCAGAGTCAAGTAGTCTTGCTAGCACACCAGTCACTCCACCACTGCTAGTATAGATTTGCAAGCAGTTACTTAGCTTGCTAGTTAGTGTGAGATCATGTGTAGTGAGCAGGATTTCAGAGATTCATTTTCAAAAGCATTTTCATCCTTTAAGCTTTCTCTCTCCATGCTTTTGATTGTACTTCCAAAGTGTCTATGCATTGCTGTGTTTCAGTACTTTGTTTTACTGGCCTTTGTTTCTAGGAGTTCCATAATGTCACACTTGATAAATCAGGAAAGCCTCTTCGTTGGATATGGGATTCAGACTTACCTTTGGAGTGTTTGTCACACTCAGTGAGAATCAGGAGCAAAGCAGAAGCATCAAAAATCTGGAGTCAGTGGAGTCTGTGGGAGACTGTCCTGGGTAAGCAAAACAAGACTGTGCAGTATGGGTTTTATTTTTTCCAGTACAAAGCTAGATTGTAATTCACCGGTGACTTTAACCGTAATGTTCAGTTCAGAAGAGGTAACATCAGATCAAGAATCCGTTTTGAACTCTTTCATCTGTAAGCACTAACCAGGTCTTTTTTTTTTTTTTTTTTTTTGGCAATAGTAGCAATGCTTCAGCCATTGTGTTAATTTGCAGACTATCTTCCTAAGCTAGTAGAGCAAAAGTTTTCGAGCTTTTCTTGCTCTCACATTAAAACAATGCAGTACATAGAATGGCATGGAATCTTGGATAGGCTCTAGTATAGCCCATCACCAGGTCAGACACAGCCCTGGCCCAAGCTGAGGGAGAGGAGAGGAAGCGCGTAGCTGTGGCTGCATCATCTGATACACGTGTTGTTTTTGTCTGAGGATCTTAGCTTTGATTAGTATTAAAGATGCAAACAGAGAGGAGGAAGTCAGCTCCTTATGTCACTTGGAATGAACTTCTATGAATTATATGAGAATAAACAGGGAGTCAACCAATAACGTAATTAATGATATCAGAAAAACTGTTCTTTTTTTTTCAGATTACAGTGTCTTATTAGAACACTTTGGTTTCCAGAGAATTTGATTTAAACAAAATATGTAACTGCTTTATTAAAAAAATGGCTACAGTGATTTGATAAAGAAACACTGTTCTTGTTTGGAGCAGCCAGGGCTTTTGGTTATGGGAGACGTCGTGGGTAGTAGAAGCATAACAGGTCTGTATACTTGGATTGTGGCACATAGTAATGGAATCATAGATTTATAGAATAGTTTGGGTTGGAAGGGACCTTAAAGATCATCTAGTTCCAACCCCCCTGCAATCAGCAGGGACACCTTCAATTACATCAGGCTGCTCAGTGCTTCATCCAACCTGACCTTGAATGTTTCCAGGGATGGGCCATCTACCACCTCTCATCAACCTGTTCCAGTGTTTCACCACTCTCATAATAAAAAAAAATTGCCTTATATCTTGTCTGAATCCACCTTCTTCTAGTTTAAAATCATTACCCCTTCCTTGTCCTGTCTCTACAGGCCTTACTAAAAAGTGTGTCCTCATCTTTCTTATAAGCCCCTTTAATTATTGAAAGCCACAGTAAGGTCTTCTCGGAGCCTTCTCTTCTCCAGGATGAACAACCCCACCTCTCTCAGCCTGTCCTCATATGGGAGGTCCTCTAGCCTCCTGAACATCTCTGTGACTCTCCTCTAGACCCACTCCAAACAGGTCCATGTCTTTCCCGTACTGAGGACTTGTCAGGTTGGGTCTCATGAGAGCAGAGTAGAGGTGGAGAATCATCTCCCTCGACCTGCTGGCCATGCTTCTTTTGATGCAGCCCAGCATATAGTTGTCTTTCTGGGCTGTGAGCACATGTTGCCAGCTTATGTCCAGCTTTTCACCCACCAGTACCTCCAAGTCTTTTTCCGTTGGGCTGCCCTCAATCCCTTCATCCCTCAGCCTGTATTGATACCAAGGGTTGCCCCAACCCACATGCAGAGCCTTGCACTTGGCCTTGTTGAACCTCCTGAGGTTTACCTGGACCTACTTCTTGAGCTTGTCCAGGTCCCTCTGATGGCATCCCATCCCTTGGGCGTGTAAACTGCACCACTCAGCTCAGTGTCATCTGCAAATCTGCTGAGGGTGCATTTGATGCCACTGTCTGTGTCATTGGTGAAGATATTAAACAGAACTGGTCCCAATACCGACCCCTGAGGGACACCACTCATCAGTGATCTCCATTTGGATATTGAGCCCTTGACCATTAGTCTCTGGATTTGACCAGAGAGTGTCTTGGCAACTACATCCACATTGTAGAGTACCTCAGCCTTCTCCTTGTCTGTTGTTACCAGCTTGCCAGTCATGTTCATTGGGGCGGGGAGTACACTTTCTTTGATCTTCCTTTTCTGGCTGACATGCCTACAGAAGCCCTTGTTATTATTCTTTGTGTCCCTTGCCAAGGTCAGCTCCAGCCATGCTTTGGCCTTCGTGACCCCATCCCTACACAGTTGGGCAGCATCCCTATGCTTTTCCTAGGATAACTGTCCCTGCTTCTGCCTGTGCATGGGCATAACTTGCCCATCTGCCTCACCTTATATAATGGGGAAATAGGGTGCAAGACTCTCCTTTCTTTCTCACTAACCTCAGTCTTGGAGATTTTATTTTTTCAATTGAAATTGGAGGGGGACCACAAATACTTTTTATTTGTCACAAACTGATCCTGTATTACAGACCTGATTTAGAACTCTCTGAAAGGCAGTGACTCTAGATTTCATCAGATGTTTGGATCAGATTATTGAGAGCAGGTTTTTTCTCCAACGTGTGCAAAAGCCTGTGAGTCACTTAAATCCCACTAATTTTTGCATCCAACATTGAAAACAATAGGAGTCTTATTCCAAGCTGACTATGCCCTTACTGATCTGATGCCTTTTAGCTGAGCTCTGCATGAGCTTCAAAACATAATGTTTTTCTAGCCCCCTGCTTGTAATCTTCAAGAGCAGGTGTTTTGGCTGTAAGCATCAGCCTGCTTATAGGTGCAGGAGGTAGTGCTCATCTGTGAAGACGGTTCTTGAATGCACACTCTTTGTTTTCCCTAAGTGTTCCCCATTAGTCTCTTAGGTAGTTTGTTGGACTATATTACATGTTCATGGGTTTAAGAGAAATATAGATTGGATTACATGTGAAGTTGAGCTCTGTATGGGGAAGAATACTAAAAAGTCCATGAATGGATAACATAACAGCAGATCCTTGTGTAAATGCTCAGTTATGTGTTCTGGTTGAAGGCTAAGGCTGCTGCCATGAGCATATTTTGAATTGTTTTATTGTGTACTAATTTGCAGGCCTGGACACTTCAAATAGCAGTGGACCACATATCTTTCCAAATGAAAAAATTGTAGAGGAAGGCTCCGACATTACTTTTTGTTGCATTGGAAGGAAAGGTCAAATCATTAAGGAATTCTTTCTAGTGCCAGCGGTTCATGTTTTCAGTTCTGCAAACAGTGAAGTCGGACTTCTCACTGTGAAAAATGTGTCACATCAAGGAGTGCCCCACATCACAGTCCACTGTCAAGAGTCTTGCAATGAAGAACAGTGCTATGATTATGCTACTTTCTTTGTGGGTAGTAAGTGAATGCTTTACTACAGTTCTATTTTCCTGTTGTTATTAAGTCAAGAATGGCTGTGGGAAATGGGAAGAGAAACACAAAAAGCTTACTGTAAGTTGTCATTATACTGTCACGTCCGGCTGAACTCTGTTTAATATCTGACTTCAGATCTGTACGCTTGCATATAGAAAGCATTAAATAATAGCACTAAATGTGCTGAGATTAATCTCACTAATTGATCCTAGGACAGGTGGCTGATTTTTAGATTTACCTACCTGTTTAGGAGTTCAGCTTCATTTTCTGTGTGCATGTGGCAAAAACTCAGCACAATCCTCTTTTCGAAGGCTAGTAGCAATTTTTGCAGATAGAGAACAATACAGATTAAATTAATGAATATATGAATATAACAAAAATAATGACAAGAAGAAGTGGTTGGAATGCAATTAATTTATGGTCTTATCCTGATTTTCTCTGCAGAGTGGTTATTGAATAAGTATAATTGAAATAGTAACATCTGTAGTAAAACAGACTTTGTGCATATCCGTTATTTCTAGTTTGTTAATATAGTAAAAAGCTTGATGTCTTTTGCCTTGACTGGCATGCTGTTGGTGTTTTTTTGGTTATTCCTTCTGACAAGAACCACCTGATACACCTCATGATTTTTCCTGCCAAACTCAAGACATGAGAATAGTAACATGTACTTGGACCCAAGGAGGAGACACCTATCTTCATGGTCATCGTTCACCAAAATACACCTTGTTCGAAGAGTAAGTTTTCTCATTGTTATATTAACTCTGGCCTATGCTGTACAGAAGAGTCACCTTCTTTCCTTTAAAATATGTGTAAATGTTTTTATCCTTGTTGCCTGCCTCTTTCCAGCTCGTTGAGCAGCTTATTTAACAAAGTTTGGGCAGTGCAGAACTGCACTGAGTTAGACTACAATCAGGATGTAGATAACTTTAAAGTATAATGTAATTATTGGGTAACGCACACAACAGATAACTGGGATTTAATCAGCTGGTAGGCTGAGTATTAATGTGTTCACAATCCATTGACAGCAATCCTGACCCAGACTGCTGATTCCCAGCTAACCCGTAGCTGCCTGTTAGCCTCCGTAGTTCTTTTTCTTTAGGATTTTACAACTTTACATGCAGGCGTTTTCTTGAGTTCTGGAGCTACTGACAGTCTCCTCTCAAAAATCCTAATTCTGTGTATAATTTCTATAATTTCAGCTTTTTTTCTTTTTTTGGTAAAAATCTTTTTGCAAACTTTCTCATAGCTCTTTCTTAGCAGTCTGAGTCAATGTTACACAGCTGTGGCGTATCAGACCAGGCCCCAGAGGCATCTAAATGGAGAGGAGAGGGGCTTTACAGCAGGGCATGCAGAGAAAGGGCAACTCATAAAACAGGACAGATGCCTCCTCGTCAGAACAAACTTTCATCAGATCTCAGCAGAAGGCAGGTCATCAGTGTATACCTTCATGGTCTCTGCATCATTCATTTCCACAAAGATATGATAGTGATTTGAAAATGGAAGGTTAGAAGATGCACTTGAAATTACTGGTTTTCAAAACACAATGGTAGACATGAATGGTTTCATTCTTGGCAAATAAGTTTTAGAATTTCTTTGAGGAAATCACTAAAAGGAATTTAGCTGTATCTCAAAAGTATAGCAATTTAGATGTATCTTAAAAGCATAAAGTAAGCTTAGACTTTGAAGAAAACTTTCTTCTGATGGTAAGAATACCTATATTCATCCTACTTCAGGCTAGGAGAAAGAACTGGGTGGCTTCTTATAGTCCCCCTCAGCCTTATTTTTTGTGATGCTGTATTGTAGTTGGGCATCACAAATTTCAACATTTATGTTGATGCTACCTTATGGAAAAATGTCTTTCTCTCTTTCCCCCCCCCCCCCTTATTTGATAGGTTTTCCCAAAAAGTGGTTCCATGCACAGGAAGTTGTTCTGAGCAGTGCTCATGTTCTTTGGATATAGGCCAGCAGAGGATCTGTAATATCACATTGACTGTGGAAAACGCACTGGGAAAGAAAACTGCCGTGGATGTTTTTGATGTAACTCACAGAAGTAAGGTGTTTTCTGTGTCTTTGTTGAGGAGCTTTTGTTGCAGGCCTTGCCGTCCTCCTGATTTTAGTACTTGAGTGCCCCAGTTTAAAGGATGGAAGTCCTTGATGTTTGTTTTCACAGTTGTTATTGGTTATCTGTCTCTGTGCTATACTTAGCTGCTTTCTCTTCAGTATCAGCTTTGCAAAGTTGTGTTAATGGTAGCAAATAGCTTCATCCCAACGGTCAGATTTGGTTATTGAAATGGTTCAAAATCTGCTGCTTTGCTGAAGCTGGCTCATAGTATAGGATGCAACGTGACACAAGGATATAAAATGGGGAGTTCAAGAAAAATATCTGTATAGGTTACTTGGAAATTCAGTCCTTTCTACAAAATATTATTGCCAATGTTACTGTCTTTCCAAAGTAAAATGGAGATGCACATTTTCAAAAGTGGGTAAATAAAATGACTAACACCTCTCCAAATGAGATGTGATAGGTGTGTAAGCAGCTATTGCCAGGAGAGAGGGGCTAGCACTAACCTGTATTGGTGCAATATGGGACAGTGACATCTGTCAGGGAGGAAGAGTAGATCATCATCAGTGAAATAAAACAGATTATTCTGTGAGAAGTAACTGATGGCTGTGGTTCCTTTTTCCCTATTAGCTGTGTCCTTTATCACCGTGTGCCCCAGGTCCTAGCTACTCCTGCCTCAAAACACCTGGGTATTTCCTGTGTCTCCAGGAGTATTTCTAGTTCTCCTTGTGTCCTCTAGCTCCACCACATCCACCTCAGTGTTCCCAAGGTCCTGTGGCTACTTTACCTGTTTGAAGAAGCAGGAGGCAACATCTGCTTCACTTGGTTCTGAAGCTGACAGGCTGATGGACAGGGGAGGCTGCTGGTGTGACTGCTGCATTCTGTCAGCACTTCCTCAGAGGCAGTGATTACAGTTTTGCTACACACACTTTTTCATATGACTCGTAGGAACATATGTTAAATGCCTGTCTCTGTTAAATTTGTCTCAGAGAGGCATGATCGTTCTACAAGTAGATTTATTTGATTGTTTTGAGGTGGAAGAAATAGAGCAGGAAGAAAGGAAGAGGAGTAAACTGGAAGGTTGTAGTGACACAACGCAATATTATAAACTAAGTTTTCATGCGAAAACAAGTTAAAATAGGTTACATTCAATGTGCTAAGTACATTAAAGTTTTATTACAGTTTTCTTTTTCAAGTTCTAGTGATTGTTACAAGTTAAAGAATAATATTTATGAATTAACCTTTTAAACAGTGATTGCTATAAAGTCCTTTATGTTTTCTCTGATTCTGAACATACTTACAGTACGATTTTCCTTACTTAAAGGATGTCAGCAAATAAAGAAAAAACGAAGACCATAGTTTCCAGTTCTGCATGTGGTAGCTGGGACATTCTGTGTCAAACACAAGCTCTTTTGAGTCTGGAAGTCCTCAAACTGTAACTCATGGTCCATGAAGTTCTAGAATAATGGCCAAAGCTGTAAATGTACCACTCACTTACATTGTCTTGTCTTATTCCTTACAATTGGACTGACAATATGGGAGAGTTTGAGCTCACTAAATACTGCTTACATAGCAGTAAAGGATCTTGGAAATCTTTTGGAAGAAGTAGCATTGGCTCTGTTTACCGGAGGGTTACTACTGGCAGGAAGCAATGTAAGAGTTGGGAATAAAATTTCTGGTGAAGAAGCTCTGTTCTGGGGTGTAGAAAAGTGGCAAACCTTCTCACCGTGCTACATCAGGAGCCTCTGCCAGGCCCTGGATTAGAGAATTTTACTGCATTTGCGATAAAAGTCTCTGACTCTTTCTTTTGTTCATGATGTTCTAAAATAGTTCCAAGTCAGCACAAGGGGTTTTTTTAATCTTGTATAACATTTACTTACATTTACATTCTGAAATTAATTTTTACTGAATTATATCTGCTTCTCCTAGACTGGCAGAAAAATCTGCATTTCTTATTTGTTTTTACTACTCAGCTGAAATACCTTAAAATACTTTTGAATATATTTTATGTTTTACAAGTGCTAACTCAGATTTTCCATTGGCAGTTTATCCTGCTGCACCTTTCCAGCTATGGGAAGAATGCACAGATACAGAAATCACATTATATTGGAAACATCAAAACAAAGGAAGGAAACTCTTTTGTCAGACTGAAGTGCTCCAACCTGATGGGAAAGTACAACTGGTATAAAACCTGAATTTCATACACAAAAACATAGCAAGTATCTTTTTGACTTGAGTTTAAAAAATAATTCCACAGCAATAGGAATACTTGCTAAATCTTGTGACCATGTTGATGTGTCTGTTTTCTGGATTTGTTTGCTCCCAAGCTCTACACTGATGATGTGGTCCACTCGGGCAGCCATTGCTGGCACTAGTTCATACTCCCAACACTTCCTATACTGCTGGCTGAAGTGTATGGTGTGATGGGTCTGCCTATGTGGCTCTCTCCTCTGCTGTATGGGTTCTGAGATCTGTTGAAATAAATGCAGATACTCACGGGCATTATAATTGCTGTTAGCTATTGCCAATCTTGATTTGTTGTGGTTTGATGACTCCTATCATCTTACACAGAAATGGTGGGGAGGTGTGTTGAGGGCTGCTTTTATATTAGTAGAGGAGCTTTCTGTGTACTACTGACTGTACTTGATGGTAGTGTGTCAGGTTTCTAGTGAGGGAATACCAGAAGAGTTTTTCTTCCCATCCTCTTCCATCTCCTTGAAGATTATTTGAATAGGCTCCTTGTCTAGTTCCACCTCTTTCACAGTGAGTTTGATGAGCATACTTACTGTGGTTCCTCTGTAGCCCTCTACTTACAAGGGCAGCTTGCCTCTAGCATATTAAAAGTCATTTTGAAGATGGGGAGCAAGCTGTGGTCTGTCTTAAGTATTGTTAAAGAGCTGTTAGATCAAATGGCTGCTGCAGTTGACCATTGCAGGAGACAGTTTAGAGAAGGGGCTTAAAAGCTGCTTGGTTTTTGACTTTTACCAGAACTCACCCTGTCTCTTATGGGAAGAAATGGAAATAAAAGGTAGCTGTGCATAGAGCTGGAACAGCGTCCTACTTATATGAACTGAGTAAGAGACCCAGACTGGGTGAGGATAAGGCCTCACTAAATTTCTTTCCTTGATGTCAGAGTAGTCATTTGTCAGGTTGTGGTTCCTACTCAAACAGTTACACAGAGACTGCTTGCAGGCCTCTTTTTGGATCTCATGGTTTGGGTTTTTTTTTTTTTTTTTTTTTTTTTTGGCTATTTTTCCATTATTATCCTTCCAAGTCAAGCTTGACTGGCTGTCATGGGATCTAGAGGAAGAACTATTCTTTCAGACAAAAACCTCTTGCTGATGAAGCTGAAGTAAGCTCTGACTTCTGTTTTTATGTCTTGCAGCATAATAGTTCAGACATGGATCTCCATTATGCCAGCATCACACTGGGTGGACTGGAGCCATACACTGAATATACAGCTCGAGTACACTGTGGGGCAGCTAAGCATTTCTGGAGGTGGAGTGAATGGAGTGAAGCCCGAACCATCAGAACAAAGGAAGCAGGTAAGTCCAGCCTATTGAGAAGGGAAGCTTGAAGGATGTTGCGGGTGCCCACCAAAGCTGCCCTATCACTCC